ACTTACTTACTTACTTACTTCCAAAGGACTGCCAATAGATGTATTATGGTTCTGGCAAACACAAAGCATTTGATGTTAACTTGGAAAACTTCTTATATTCCCTTTTCAGAAGATTTTGTTGACATGTTGCACTCGGAAAAACAGGTGTAATGTTAAAAATGAATGATTCAATTTAGCTGATTTTGATCCAGGTTCATGGTGTCATACTTAAACATTCAGACAGTTGGCCATATCTACATTTATAAGGGCTCATGTATTGTTAATGCAGAAGAAATAACTTTTAATATTAATATTAGTGTACTTTATAATCTGTTGTGTGCATATATACAGTAAGATAATACAAAAGTAATATGTGAAATAATATTTTAGGTACTTTTTCCGATACAATGAATTGATTGCTGCTAAGCTATAAGGAAATTCAGTTGGGTGATTTAAGACAAAAGCATCCTCCATATTAGTTATAGTCCTATCAAAAATCCTCATGATTCGTGAGCGTGCTCAAGCGAACAGAAATGTTAAAAGCTCTTTTAGATTTTCACACAATCAATTGACTCCTTGCTTGTGAAAGTGACCCCTGTACTGTAAGTCATACTTATAATCAACTTCTTATTCATCGATCCTTTTGCAACTTTGAGCTTCATATGCTTGAATCCATTGGCTCTCACTAATCGCAACAAACAAGAAATTAAGAATACCATTGACTGATGTTATGTGATAAAATGTCTTATAGGTTTAATAAGTAGCTGTAAATAAATGTTTTCGGTGTTGTGATGAAGTCATGATACTAAAAATGTTATATTTGAACCAGAATGTAACTTTAGAAAGTGTATGGAGTGCATGCAATCTTTTGGAGAAGTTTAAGAAGTTGGGGCATCTGGCCAAAGCCCAGCCTGTTGTTTTCATACTTCAGAACTCTGGCAGTGCTCTCCTCATGTAACGTCTCATTGATAAGAGCAGCAAACACCTCATTTACAGGAACCTTAGGCTATAAGATCAGGTACTTTAAAATCCATCCAAACACATTCAGACCCTGCCTATGTGCCAGCAAATAAAACACCTTGATATCGGCCCAACTAAAGGATGATTCTGTCTTAATGTCCCATTTCAGGGACCAGGGAGTCCATAGTCTTTATGGCTCCTCCGAATTGCAGGTAGTAATGTCTGACACAGCAGGGCTCCTGCCTTTCAGATGATCAAAAGAACAAGTTCAGCCTGCAACCAGAGCCACTTACAGCCGACATCAAGAAGCAGCAAGATTGGCAGCTTTTAGGTCTTTGGTCCATTTCATCAGCCATTACTACCAGCAGAGACGTGCTGAGGAGGACGAGTGGGAGGAGGGGAAGGCAGATTAACAGACAGCTGATACAGGTGTATAGGCGGTATCAAACAGCAGCTCTATCAATACAGCAGCCTCCAAATTTCTTCAGAAAGCGCTGGGATCCCCAAAGTATGCCCACTGATTTCACTATGACAGGATTAACTGGGAGCTCCGAATGATTTTCTCAGATTCTGTGACTCAACAATTCAGTGATCCACGTTGTATCGGCTTTAAAGGCCCCTATCCCAAGTTTCAAAAGCTTACCCTTCGGACAAGGGACACTCTTTTTCTCCAATGCGGTTCCGCTTCCCTTTTTTTTTTTTGCTGCATTCAGTTGTTCATCAACCCCCGCGTCCTCGCCAGCTCTCCCATCCTCCCTTCTCTGCACATCTGCTACGTTTGAGTTTTCCTTTCTTCCCTCCAGCGCCTTGCTTGGCCCAAGGCCCTTATAGCCAAATTGGTTTACATTGGAGAGATAAATGCTCTGCAAATGCGCTTAAACACGTACAGTAAAAAATGCAGACAGTGCGTGTCAGGATTATCACCCAAGTCAGGGGGAGAAAGGAGAGCGTCTCTGTAGCACAAAGCTGGGGAGCCGGAGTGAAGCCTGCAGATATAGTCCGTCTCATCCACTTCTCAGGAGAAAGAGAGGAGGATTTAGCATTTGCATGCTAGTCTGTAATTCCTGGCATTATATAACTTGTCGCCAACAATCAAACTCCTGTGGTATTGTGAAAGTATTGTTTCACACGGGTGAGCAAAGTGTGGAGTTACACTCCTGGGGGAAGGGGTTTTGGTGGCAGCATGGAGACAGCTGGTCCAGGATGTAGACCACCCTATAAGCCCACCGAACAACTCTCTCCTGCAACACAACGATCAGGCCCGACTATACAAGGTGCTCCACAAAATCGTCTACAAATATTCAGTTTACAGCATAAATTACTCACTTTAACATGGCGAGTGATCTGTTGGAAGAGTCTGATCCAAAGTGCAACAGCCAGAGAAAGGAGTATTAAAAAAATGCACCTGTGTGTTCTTCTAAGGTCAGGTCTGCTGTCAAATTCATATTTTCATTGGGGCAATATTACATTTGAAAGGTTAAAAAAACACTTGTACTTCTATGTAAATGTATCACAATTTAACTTGTTTCAGATGTTATGTGAAGTCATCACTTAAGGTGAAGTCTTAAGTTTGGCATCATATATATTAGGAATTCATATTGAGACAATGTGTCATCACTTATGTCACTTTAAAATATGGACATATGGAAAAATGATTTTAACGTGGGATAAATTCACGTTTAGTTTTTTTTGGAAGATAGTTGTGTTTACCTGCTCAGGGCCTTCAAATGGAAAAGGGATGGCGATGACACATTTTACATATCTTCCCTTTTGCTTGAAAATAAGGTTTTTGTACATGGTTCTAGACAAAAACCCTAAGAACAAGTCAAGAATATATACTTAGACTTTTTTAATAAATGCAAATTAATTTCCTAAACAAGCTTGCAATGCAGTTTTTAGGTCATACTTAATACATAACACAGGAGGCAATACTTGATTTTCATTCATAGATTAATAGAAATGTCTTGCTTTAGTGAGTATTTAGCAGCAGGACGGTGTGTGTTGGTCAGAATAAAAAACAACTACAGTGTGCATTTTCATAGGGATGTGTTTATTTTTATTAAACATTGTAGGTTCAAGACAGAAATACGCAGACAATACATGTTTACAAGATCAATTCCTTATTGTTTTTGGTCTTTTTATGGGATTTGTTGACGATAAAGGAATATCACAAGAATGATCCCTCATAGAAAGAAGATAAACTCATCACAACACAGATATATCCTCGAGTCAGCCTACAGGAATATTTGACACTCCCACATATCTGAGCAGATGTACCGTCACCAAACAGAAGAGAAAGAGGTCTCACTTGCTGACGACAGGTAGAGCTTAAACAGACAAACTGTATCCTAAAGATTCAGGAAACAGCTCTCCCTTTTCTCCCCACCTGCTGCTGTTGCTGTCCACTATCATCAGTGTAAAACCCCTCCTCATGCCCTGCTCTGGGGATTTGGGTGTAAAACTTCCAAAAGAAGCCCCCCTTCCCAAAAAACAGCCCCTTTTTTTTCATCCCCACGACCTTCTCCTCCCTCCAAATCAACGCCGTCCCCCTCAAGACCCCCCAACACAAAGCCCTCAGAGCAAAACCCAGCACAGGAATCATAGCACACCATTCAATCATTGTTTTTTCCCCTCTCTCACCCCTTTTATGGTCCCACTAAAGGTTTTAGCTGGGCAGAGAAGGAGGGCTGTCACTGAGGAAACCTTAGCCCATTGATGAAGTGACAGGAGCTGCCAGAATATGATCCTAATCCTGTTTCCAGCATTCTTTTAGCCCGCTGGCATCGCAATTCCTCCACACATTCTCTGAGCTGTCAACTAGGAAAATCCCTCTAATAGCGCATTGCCCAGATACACATCAAAGAGCTCCTGGAAACCTTCAGCGGCTTAACTGCCATAGACACACTCACACACACACTCTCTCTCTCACACACACACATAATTCCCTTTAATTTACCCAAACATGAGCTTAACGAACACTTAAAACACAGAAATTCATGACAAATTGACCACAAATTTGAAAAGTATACCTGAAAAAAGTCCCAAAATTATTTGTTATGCACTGTAACCTGCCCCGTGTTAAACCGCCTACCCCTTTCACCTGTTTTTCTCCAGTTTGCAGTGATATCATCTTTACGGTCATGGAGCGAGAAAGCGAGAAAGGACCAGGGGAAAACAGGTGTCTGAACTTTGCTGACTCCAGGAACCCTTTCAGTCCCATTTTATCTCTTTCTATTCTTACTTAATCCATCGATATCCCAACCAAAGGTAATCTTCTTATGGCAAAGCATTCTGTTTCGGTGCAGCCAAACCTCAGCTGACAGGGTGAGAGGGGGGAGAGAGTGAAGGGTGGGTGGGTTTGTGGATTGGAGACTCTTTAGAGCCTGTGCTTCAGTCATTTCATTTAGGATTAGTTATCCTGTGAACAAGTGGCAGGTTCTCCCCTATGTGGTGTGTAAACCTCACAGTGGAGCACCGTAGGCCTCCCGTGTCGAAATTATTTACGGTTCATCAAGGTGTCTTCAGTCGAACATATTAACCAATTTCTATTTGACTATAAAGGGTTAAATGTGGAAATCAAAAGTGTTTATTAAGATTCAGTTTCCTGTCAGACATCCAGAGAGGAGCTGACTTCGGCTCACATTAAAAAAAAAGTCCCTCTCTTGTTGCAGAAACTTTGAGAACATGTTTTAGTTTTTTGTAAGAACTATATGTGAGTGCTTGTTGGTTAGATGTCATGATCTAGACGTCTTATCGGCTCCTTCTGACTCACTTTTTATCCACATAATCTTCTAATAGAACAATACTCCCAAGAAGAAAATGTGATTTCGTAAACATCCATATAGTGTCCTGAATTCAACCAACATATCTGAATGTAGGAACTATTGCTTCAACTCTACTCTTTTCTTACATTTTTAACAATAGCTGTTTTGGTTTTCTTCAGCCTTCATTTTTTTGTCATTTTCTTATCCCTCTTTGGTTAAAAAAAAAAAGCCAAAATAAGACAATGTGTCACACAATCACATATTTTCATTTCCAAACGACGACACTGACAACACTAGTCATTCTTAAGTGTGATTTATTCCCTTGCAATAAACAGATAAATTACTCACATTTTTAAACAATTGAGAAATACATTTCTTGAATCTACAGTGATATAATACATAGAGAATGGGCCTGTGTGCTTTCTGCTGAAGCTCAGCTAAAGTGGTCCGGCACCGAGTTCACACAAATATTCGTCAGCTGATGTGTTCATATTCATTTGTCACTGTGCCTCCTCTGCAGATTTTCCCCTTATTTAAATGCTGCCGTAGGTCCTTTGCTTAAAGCCACGATTGGAAAATAATAAATTGAACGTTTCCTCTCAAATCCTTCACACAAAAGGAGACATGGAGATATTTTTTTAGCCAGGCAGATGGAGGTGAACACTGAGGGATATTTACAACGCTCAATGGACTCAGCTGTAACTTTAAACAAGGAGAGTGGTGTGTCATCTACAAAGAAATACAGTTGTGTGGGGGATTAGAATGAGGTATTTCAGCTTAATCTCTGATATCAGATCAGATGTGACTTCATTCTGTGTTTGCGGCTTCAAGCCATGCTTCAGAGGGGTGCGTGCATGCATAGTTCACGTTCAGGGGTTGAATTATGGAATATTTTAAAATCTTATATCTGTCCTTAAATCAGCTCTGGTTTCGAGACTTTTGTCCCTGACTTCACGGAGGACGATGAACTCTTTCTGATCAGCTTCTTTTTAGTAGAGTTGGCTTGTTGTGTTGACCGGGAGAAGTCAAATACTAGCATAGGATCCACGGGCTAAATGTCACAACTGCAGTCCAGGTGGGATTTCTTTAAATCCATTGAGTTCTTGTGAGAATTACATTTTCAGTTAAGTCTATCCAACAGAGCTGTTCTTCCAGTCCTGGTTTGCTCCCAGCGCTGAGCAGCATGCCCACATGGTGACAATGAGGTGAAGAGGTGCATCAAAAACTCTCTGCCCCAAATGGAGTGCGCCTAAAGTGCCTGCTCTAAAACACGTATAATGGCCTTCATGTTTGCTGAAAAACAATATTTTCCTACTGTTTTGGTTCACTGCTCTGGTTTGGAAATTGGATTTAGTTCAACTTTGGAAAACTGCAAACAAAACTTCAGCCGTTTATTGTTGAACTACAAGCAGAAATGTGTAATTTTCCCAGTTTTAAACAGAGGACATGGGAGTTAACATTAGGGTAGCACCCAGAAGCTTAAATATAAATCTAAATATAATGAATATTTTTGGATGTGTTTGGATTGGTACAAATAGCTGCTGACGACGGTGAAGCAGCAAGCAGAAAGAAAACAGGGGCCCAGAGTCACCTCCTGCAAACAGGGCCCATGATTCATCGGTGCGGCCCTGACTAGAGGGCGAATGCTGAGCCCGAGCTTCAGTTGGGGTGCGTGTCCAATCCCAGCGAGGCTGCGTGCTGCTTGGCCCTCAGACGGAGGTTCTCGATGCTGGTGGTCTTGCTGTTGAGGCTCCCGGGTAGACCTCCTGGCCCCCCCTGCATCATAGGGCTGCTCCACACCTGCTGGGCCTGCGACAGCGTCTGGTAGTAGGACGGGCAGGGCATCGAGCTCAGGGGGGACGGCACGTTGACGTTCATGCCGAGGTAGGGCATGGGGGGGGGCGGGGTCATCTCGAAGGACGGGTAGTGCACCATGTTGTTGGTGGCGACCATGTGCTGCCGAAACTGCTCTTGCAGCCGGAAGAGGCTGAGCGGAGACGAGGCGTAGGAGTTACCTTGAGCCAGACCACTGGTGACGCTGCTGGAGGACGGCAAGGGGGGGGAGATCAGGGGGGAGTCTGAGAGAGAGGAAGAGAGGGAGAGAGGGAGGACTTTAATATGATTCAACACACACTGGCACCAGTTCGGTAAATGGTTATGGCCCAACTGCTGTGGTTTTTTAGTAAAGGGCAGGTAACATCCGACTTTCTTCTCCCTGCTTCTTTCCGTCATTGGCTACAGAAAATGTTTAAAGTATACATGTTTTCTTTATATAATAATTTCCCTGAGTGGAGTTTGTTAATGAAGTGCTTTTACATTCTGTATAGAAGTCAGCAATAAGCCATTCAGAAACATTCAAACAGCGACAGAATAGCAAATCAGAACGACCCTCTGATTGGTGGATACATACTCTCCAAAAACGTGATTTGATTCTTAAATATGATGAATAATAAGGCAACATAGAAGAGAAAGAAGAATATTTGTACCTGGTCTGGGGCTCAGCTGTTTGCAGATTGGGGAGCTGCTCCCCGGCTGCGCCCCCCCCTCCCCCCCGCGTCTCCTCCCTGCTCTTCCCCCTCGTCTCCCCTCTCATCTCGTCCTCCTCTCCGTCAGCGTTATCCTCCGCTGCTGACTCGCTGTCCGACGGCTCAGGAGAGGTGACGTTCACTTCCACGCTCGTCTCTCCTGGCTGCGGCCGAGCAGTGTCTGACGGGCAGGATGAGGAGGAGGAGGATGGAGGGGGGGCGGTCTCAGGAACCAGGGTGGTGCTGCTGCTGGCGGTGGTTTCAGTCTTGGACTCCTCTGTGGAGCCCTCTGCAGCTCCGGACGCCTCCTTCTGTTTCTGCAGCTGCTCCTTCTGCAGGCTGCGCTGCTTCTTACGAAACTTGGCCCTGCGGTTCTTAAACCAGACCTGGCGAGATGAAAGACGGATAGATTAGCTTTAGGGTCCAGGACTTACAGTATCAGAACCAGAATCAAGTTTATTGCCAGGTTTTACACATACAAGGATTTTGCTTTGGTGTATGGTGGTGCCACCATAAACAATCTAAGAAAACAAGTTGTAAGAGTAGGTCAAAAATATAACAATTATAAAAATAATTTATTTTTTAAAGCTATTTAGCTTTAAAAACGCACAAAGACAAGTATTTACACCAAATTCAAATGTATTTATACAAAAGAAACTAAGAGGCCTGCATAAAATATTAAAGATAACAATTAAAAAATACACAAAAGTACCCATCCAGGCGGACAACAATAAGTACAGTGACTTTAAAAAGTAGAAGTACTGTGATAGAAGCCTGATAAAAGTGGTGAAAGTACAAGTATACAGTATATTGCACAGTCATTGAGTAGTCTAACTATGAGATAGCAGCCAGTTAAAGTAATAATTTAAAAGTGGGATATGTATATATATTACACATAAGTGATAATCCACGACAGATGTGTTATAGTCTTTGTTGTTGTGGTCTAGAAGAGGCCATGATGGTTGTAAAACTAACCTTCATATTTAGTAGTAATAGTGTGTAACTTAACAAGGCATAGGACTTTCTCTGTTCATATACTGCAGCACTTGGTCTACCCATTATGACTTTTACTGAAACACGATTGCCTTTAGTTTCTTTAAGCTGGGCACCACAGAGGATAGATGCACTCTGAGGGGTTTTACCTGGACGCGGGCCTCGGGCAGGTTGGTGCACATGGCCAGGCGTTCCCGCATCACCACGTCGGGGTAGTGGGTCTTCTGGAAGGTTTTCTCCAGGGCCTCCAGCTGCTGGGCGGTGAACGCGGTCCGACTGCGCCGCTGCTTTCGGTGCTGGGAGCCATACCGGGCTTCGAGGATAATGTCTTGAAATGTGCAGCCGTTGAGAAAAAACAAACACGAACAGTTTAATTGAGGAACAGGTCAGAAGTCCTTTCAACACACATACAGGGATCAACACAGTACATGTGTGTTATAGGGAGTGGAAAATAGAGATTACAGATGACATTACATGCAAGTTAAACTTTGAACAGAGGTGCGAGATCCCCTGCATTACACAAAGTGATTACAATTAGCTGCACCTTTACCAGCTTTAATTACAATGTAATACTGCAATTGTCATAATAAAAACATGTAATAGCCTATATATTATTCTGAAATCAGCAGTATAAGTACTTTAACTTTTGGTACTTGCTAATACTTTTGTATTTTCTCTTGAGTAACATGTTGACCTGAGTACTTCTCCCTCCTCTGACTTTGAACAACAATATGAGAGGCGGTTCCTTACCAGCCAGTCTCTCTGCCAGAGTAAGCGCGTGCACGGAGGGCCTGTAGTCCGGTGTGTGCTGGGCCTGCTGCGCCGCCTGCTGGTGGAGGTTGTACATGGCACTCAGAGAGTTCATGGCGTGCAGAGAGTATCCGTTCACCCCGTAGTGCTGCATGGCGGAGAGTCTGCAGAGAGGAGGACCAGAGGCTGCTGTGAGTGAGAGGCACCTCTACAAACTAATAGTGGTATATAGCTGCTATTAAGAAAGGATACACTTATATACTTTGTTTAATATTTTTCGTTGTATGCTGACTATTAAAATTGGCAACAGGTACAATGTAACCAGCAGTGTGTTCCTGGGAAAAAGTAATTATTTCATTTAAACGAAGAAAATAACTTAATGATATTTGAGGATGTCATATAGATTAAGATTTGTATACACTGTAACTACGTGTTAGTCCAGTTTGATAAATTCAAGCAAAACTAAACAAAACATGTAAAGTGGCAGTATATTTTTCCAATAGAAAAACGCAGTGGGATTTAAAGCGTATAGAAAAGAACAACATAATTATTATTGTATTACCTTTCACATTGACATTTATAGTTATTAAAAGCTTTCATGAAAAAGGGAATTCACATATATATTTTTTTAATATTAAACAGAGATTTGGAATAAATGTGGTCCCAGTTTGTGCCAATGAACAGTGAAGAATACAATGTATATTACGTAATGTATTCACCCAAATAAGATGTAGTATAAAGGCCTACTGCAGTAGTTCAAAGGAAAATATTTTTGAAATAGGCTAATGTTAGTCTACTTTATTGTTTATAATGTTGCATTACGTTGTGTAGTTATTTTTGATGTAACATGCTCACAATAGGAAAATCCGTGCCGAAGATAATAGCGTCATTTCTTTAAAGTTGTCAAGAAATGCGATGCCAAAAAATTAAATTCTCCTCCCTTTAATAATACAAATAATATTAATCAGGTAGGCTAGATTAAAAAAAGTTACAGACATTTTCCCCAAGGCAATACTTTATTCTGCTGTTTTAGTTAACCATATTTTCATACAATTTACAGCGTGCAGAATTTCAATTGAAAATATTTGTTTTGTCTAAAGCTGCAACATATTTACTCCCGGAGATTTGTCTGAACCATGGCCGTTTGTGTTGACGTGTGTCGGGTCAGCTCCAGCTGCCCGGAGGCTGACGGAGCTCCGGTGTAACGTGGTGACAAAACAGCAGATTCATTTATCAAGTCTGACACATGGAATATGGACCAACGTGTGTGTGTGTGTGTGTGTGTGTGTGTGTGTGTGTGTGTGTGTGTGTGTGTGTTAAGCTATCAAAACGTGTGACTAATGCAATAACTTTTTTATTCATGTGACTATTTCGTTGCATTATTTTGAGACCAGCCCCTGGCTACATTCATGTATATTTTTTGGGTTAAATCTGCAGCTTAAACATTCAACATAGTGCCGTTTTTCTTCCAGGACAATGACACGTCCTCGGGCTGTGGTTTAAGGCTAATTATGCTAATTGCCGTGGATTTATGAGTTATACAGCTTTTACTAAAGAGTGCCTCGGGGCCGGGCTCTACATGGCGTCAGTTCAGGAGCATTCAGGAACTTAAAAGACATAGGAAATAAATGGGGATAATTAGGCTAATACATAGTTAACAACGTGTGAAGTTAAACAACCATAAAATAACGTCACATTCTTGTTAAAACGCGTTTAAAAGTGCACGAAAATCCGTCCGTTTAACAGCCTTGTTGTGTTACTGAATACTTTGACCAGTTACATTTAATTGAATTATTGAATAAAATAATGACAGTCATGTTGTTAAGCTGTATCACTGATTTTGTTTCGAAGAGATCGACGGAATGCACTGTTGACAACCGAATTTTTTTCAAGAGTTATTGGAGTTTAATAATAAAATACGTCGCGATATTAAACAAAATGCAAGGGAAAAAGACTCGTACATCAATGTAAAATAATTGTTTTAATAATACTTGTTAGGCTGCAAAAGTCTACATTAGAAATACAATATTCGCAACTCTGCAAAACTTCTTACCTCTCGTCTATCGGTGTGTCAGAAGCGAAATATCTCCACTATAGCAGCCGAATATTCTCCTTTTGAAATCTTCGTCTCTAGATTCCGGTTGTTCAGGTGTTCATTTCATTAGCTGTTTCTTTCACGTAGAGATCCTGAGGATGTCCCGGTGGTTCGGTCTCTCCTCTCTGGGTGTGGGAGGATGCTGAGCTGCTTCTCCCGGCCTTTAAAGCTCTCTGGGTGGGGGGTCACCGGGACGCGAGGACGGGCCAATCAGATCGCTTCCCTCCTCCCCCCCCTCCCTCACACTACTCCTCACTTCAGAGAGGATTTCTGCATCCGAGGTGCCGATATTTCTGTTATCATTTTCAGCGACAAAATGCATTGACGTAATGACATTATAATTATATTTTATTTAAGCATTTGTTGTTATTGCCGAAATGGACAATTATAATAATTATTGATATTGAGAAATTGTTGGAGGTAATAAATATGATAATGTTTATATTTCTGGTTTAAACTGAAGATGCACTTACTTAAAAAGCCAATTATGTAAATTATTTAAAACATATTTTCAATCTGAGCACGACGAGATGCTTTAGCCCTTTCTTTTGAACGTATCAGTCTTTACCTTCATTTTTTATTTATTTCATATTTTTGGGTTTACTTTAACATTCTTTGCCCGAATTTTTTTTAATACAAACATTTAACAAACAAACCTCGATACTCCAACCACAGTAATTTAACATTTCTGTACCCATAGCATTATTAAATGGCTAAGCACTAATATGCATATTAATATTGCATTCATGTTTAGGCTCAAGCAACCACTACACATGTGATTAAAATAAAAATAGATTATTAAAAAAAACATCGGAAGTATAGTCAGCAGCCTGAAATGAATAATTCCTTTATTATTTCTAAAGTGTCTTAATAATACACGTTTAAAAGCAACCTCCAGCAAAAAAAAACGTTTGTATATCCAGCCAAAAATAAAACTCTCTAACACGTCTTAATTAAATGATGTGCAGTGGCTCTCTCTCTGCTCGGGGACTTCAGGTTAATTCCTCTTTAATTTTATTTTCCTGTTTGCTGGGAAGCAGCTGAGGTGATGCAGCTCCCCGGCCCCCAGGGATTTAGGTTAGGATTGGGTAGACAAGACGCCATTTCACCCTCCAAAAAAATGTCTTAAAATGACTGCTGGTAAGAGGATTAAAACAATAATGCCCCCTCTCTTCTTCAAGGTTTTTAGAAAAGATTTCTTCTCCCGGAGAAAAACCGTTTAGGCTGGAATTAAGGGCAGCGGAAAGTAGCCTTTTAATGTAAAGCTTGCATATTTTGTAGAATTTTCTTATGAGAGAGTGAGAAAGAAAGAAAGGGGAAAGTGGGGTTGGGTGGAGGTGGTGGTGGGGGGGTTAAAATCCTCAACTCAATTTGATCTTTGGCCACATTCATCTGCAGAACTTTAGGCTCCTGACAACAGCCATGTGTTAAAAGAAAATGTGATATAATGCATTCACTCAAAGTTCACTTGAGTTTTGTGTCCTCACTCTTCTTTCTGTTTCATTTGAGCTCTTATGTAACGGGGAAAATACAAAATATGAAAGCAACAACGACGTTTTTACACAACAAGTGGTTACTGGTGCGTAATTGGATTTCGGTGCGTATTTCAACTGAAGAAAGAAATAAAACAATCAAGAATAATGACACATCTTATGTTTGCTGTTTTAATTCTTACCATATGTTTTCTTTTTTGGTAAGTATAGCTGCAGAGCATTTAGGCCCCAGAGGAGAAAAAAAAATTGGATTAACTTGTGAACCGATGGAAATAAGAACTTAAACTGGAGGAAAATCTGGCCAGTGTCTCTTTGTGGGAACCGTTCCTAAAGCAATTAAAGCGAGAAGGAATTCCTCTCAGCTGCTCTTCTTCAAATCAGCTTTCTACGGACCTTAATGCGGGCTAATGTCCAGCACGACCGAGGCTTTAGACAAGTGACAGAGGGCCTGCTATTAGAGAGATATTAGGCCAGTGGAGCAGCAGCCTGCAACACACACACACACACACACACACACACACACACACACACACACACACACACACACACACACACACACACACACACACACACACACACACACACACACACACACACACACACACACACACACACACACACACACACACACACACACACACACACACACACACACACACACACACACACACACACACACACACACACACACACACACACACACACACACACACACACACACTGATAATGATGACATTTTAAAGTGTATTTTCCCTTTTGTACATACAACAGTATAGTAGAGCATTTTATGTTTTACACCTGGAGTAACGTTTCATAAATAAATATCTACATTTTGACAGTGGCTCTAACTAGCAAATTACTTTCATAATGCATTTGTTTTACGAGATATTGCAATGTGATTCTAGGAATAATAGTGACATTTAAAAGTGAATTTTCTTAAAGTTTAACCACTTATTACTTTATAGTAGAACATATGATGTTTTACACAACATGGAGTGTAGTTTTGTTCATGTCCTGTCTTTAATCAACATGTTGACAACAGCTCCAACTATTTTCATAATTTAAAAAATCTGCCTTTTACTTACTCAATAAATTGTTCTATTTAAAATGGTAACAAATGTTGAAAAACATCCACCAAAACTTCCAAGATTGGTGACATCAAATATTGTCTTATTTTGTCCAAACTGAGCCAAAAACCCAAATAAAATCAATTTGCAAAGATATATAAAACAGAAGAAAACATTAAACTCGTGATATTTTTGTAGATGCAGCTTAATGTAATCATCAAACAATTAATCGGCTAATCCCTGTATAGTTATTTTGACTTTAAACAGAACAGACAGTAGTTACAGATGTTTTATTCTGCAGGTTGTTGTGATGCCAAATCATGACGATATACCCATCTTTTTATTCACCATATTCACTCATCTCATCCCGATCACCTTCAGGATCTCAGCTCTGCTCGCTGCACGCTAACTTTTCCAAACCCCAAATTCATCTCAGATTTCTGCGGATTTCACTGCTGCACCCTTTGTTCTCTGCACTCCGGTTGCATTCAGGCGTTATCGTGTTAAAGCCGTGCCTCAGATCTGAGTTATCGTCTTTGCTCTCAATCATCCTCCCGCCTGCTTTCTGAATATCAAAACTTTGTATCCCTGCATCAGGACTTTGGCAACCTGAATCAACGCTCAGCCTCTGAAGCTGCAGAGATTTATGAATCATGTTCAATTTTTAATCAGGTTTATAACGCATGAATGTTTGTAATTTTACCCCTCAAATGGCTCCCAATACTTCCAAGTGGCGTGTTACATCAAATCTTGGAGAAAGTTGATGCCTTCAGCCTTCAGAGCCCATTAACTTTTATCATTAGGTTTTCTTTAACTTCATGAATATATTAGGTTTCAATCCAGCCGCTCTGGCCTGCACATACTCTTAGTCAAGGTTAGCTTGTGCTCATTTGGGGGAAATTAATCATTTTGATGTATGGTTTAGAATTGACTGCTTTCCTGGGACTTGTGATGCTGGAGTAACAAAGCAACTTGCCATTAAGCAATCCTCAGGCTGTGTATACGCTGGGCCTTCACCTTTAAGACTTCCCTTATGTGTGTTGAATACCTGCTTTTAAAAGAAAAGCCTGTTCTCCTGTACTCAGACATCAGTAACCATTGTGTCATGACTGCATCACACACTTTGTACACTCAATCTCACACACTTATATGGTTGACATCTCTTTTTTAATTATTATTAAGTGCTGCAAGCCATTATTCAACGGAAATGAACTGTTATCTACTGTGGACGCACCTTAATGTAGTTTCTGCAACCCAAGAAACCTTTGCAAAGATGAAGTTACACATTTCATTATAAAACTGGCATCAGGAGAAAATAAAAAAGCTTTCATCAAACATCAGAACAAATGAATACGAGTATGACGTTATTTATTGTCCACTTGGAGGCAACTGTTTAATTTATAAAGGGGATGTGTCCAAGATGTTACCAAACTATCTCCAATATGTGCATCTAGCAGACATGGAGCTTAGAATTCATTCTGCTATGTTTCTGGCCACCCATCAAACATAAGTCTAAGTAATATTGCTTTTGAACGCAATACAGAGGGAAGACTCTGGCTCTTAAGCTGCTAAATGTTGTCAACTTTATTGGTCTCCAGTTTGATGTTAGGAAAGACTTTTTGTTGCCGAAAACAACTGCTCACATCTGCCTTAAACAGCATCAGTGACAATGAACCAAATCACTCGAGTTGCCAGTTGAAAACCAAAACAATAATTCAAAACATTATACATAGCTGGTCAGGTGAATATCCTCATTCTCATAATCCACGTTACCCATCATAACTGAATTATTCTGAGTTATAAAAATGTATTGATTAGTGCAGCTTTCAAACAAGCACTCCACTGATCATCACTGCTCCTAACATTCATGATTGATAGTTTAAAATAGTGTCAACATTGATGCAGCAGAACGAGATACATGGACAAGTTACCATCTTTTTTACCATACTTTTCAGAACTAAGGGTCTACATTACCCACAATGCAACGTGACAGCTGCCAGTTCGTACAAGATGTGTGTTCTACCAGGATAATAACGCCTCCATCCCCAAGCATACATGAGGATCAGGGTCCAGACTCTAGCTCACTTCCTTTTAGTACTACACCAGATTGTTTTCATTTTCATTCTATAATAACCACTTGAGGTAATTCGTCAGACATACAGATCCCTAAGGAGCAACAGGAGGCTTTATACTGTACAACTACTTATGCAGTACAACAGTCCTCTCCAATACTTGTAAGCAGACTTTGATGTGTTACATTGACGGTGTTTGACCATAAAGATGCATTCAAAACTACTTTTCACATTACAATACATGTTCAAATACTATAATACCTGGGACACAACAGTCTCTAGGTGTAACTCTGACCACAGGTTGTTCACTTCGTGCAGACACACACTGCTGCAGCCGCTCCTCTGAACGGCTTCTCTGGCAGACTTGACATATCGAGGTTGGCAGGTTTGTTTCCGCCCTCTTTCTCAGAGCCGCTCTTTGGTTGCTCCCCTCAGGCTGCGGCCCAGCACAAGGGTTCCTATTGTCAGGGCCTAATCCAGGGGCTACACAGCTTTAGCAACATGGTGGGATAAA